GCGACGTTTCACATACTGCGAACACACTAGGACGTCGTTCGAGTCGCGCCACCGCCGGTACCCGACTTGCTAGGACCAGGACCTGGTGACGTCGCACCGATACTGTTCTGATTGGGATTCTAGGCGGACGGGCTGAGGGTGTCTTTTCTTGGCGGCATGCACTCGTTGATGGCGTCCAGGCCTTTCGCTTCCGCAAACGTGGTTTTTTGTGATTCGGCGAGAAACCTTGCAGAGCGTTCCGCAGCGATGTCTTGCCGCCCCACAACGCCCCTAGCGGCAGCGCTCCGGTCGGGGTCAACCCCTTCAGCTGAAGCACCGATTCGCTCTCCTCACGTAACACTGAGAATACCTTTGCCATTTTGCCAATCGCTCGAATTTTATTACGTATCGCGCCTCCTTGCGGACGTTCGCTTCGAGCGCATCATCTCCGTCTGGCATTAATTCGTCATCCGAGCATATGCTCAGAACGTTTACTAACATTTGCGTTACCTTTTCGCCCACAAATGGCAACGACCACGTGAACACGTCCATGAAATTCGGCAGCCAATACGGATGAGGAGAACAATTGAACTGTCTGATGTTCATAACGTTATTTTCATATTTCAAAACAGCGGCCTTATTGTTATAAACATCTAGGTAATTCGGTGCCGAAAAGATCGTTATCACGAAGGAAATCCTGTCGTTTGACTTTTACGATACATTCGGTAGCCAGCGTCCTGTGCTTCGTGCGCTCTAATAATCGATAACAAATTGTTGTTGTGTAGAAAGTCGCAACAAGCGGCGTAACTGTAAAATATGAACATCCACGAACCGAGTTATGCAAAAAGTGATCCGTATTGCGTTCATTACCAAATCCTCCAGTGGATCGGACCACAGCAGATCGCACATTGGCCCGTAGGCAGGAGGCTCTTTGAATCGATCCAGTCGCCTAATATCTTCTAAATTATGATTTCGGGCGACAGACCGCCATGCACGCATAAAAATTGCTGGTTCATTAAGCCGCTAACGGTAGACAATCGAACGCATCCATACACGCATCGTAAACACGTTCAGAGTATTTGATTTTGCATTCTTGTTTAAAGGTAAAATATTCAGTTAAGTGTCGACACTCGTGATTGCCTCGTAATAGGTATAAAGTTGTCGGATGGCACAATTTCAACGCCCATAAATATAAAACGCATTCTATGCTAAAATATCCCCTGTCGACGTAGTCGCCTAAAAACAAGTACTTCGTGCTGGCCGGCGAACCGCCTACCTCGAACAGCTTCATAAGATCGTAGAATTGCCCGTGAATATCTCCGCAAACGGTAACCGGTGCTTCGATATCAATCATCGTTTTCTCTGACCGTAATAAGGCCGCGCCATCTTGTATAATACGGAGTGCTACAGTTTCATCATCGATCCGACCTTCCCTTATAAAGTGTTCTTTGAGTACATCGGGCCTCGGCTTGTCAGTACGCGAATCAAACACTTCCTGAACGGTAAGTCGATTTCGTGGCGGAAATGCTACGGTCTCCATTGTACGCTGTGTCGTCGACGGCTTTCCATTATTAGAAGATTCCATTATTACACTATTACACGCACTCTACACCACATACATTTGATAATTTTTTTACACTAATAACAAGTAACTGTATCACAAGCTTCGCGCCTTGCACCAATAGTTTGTTTCCAGGCCCCGATACGAACTGCGCCTAATAACCTAGGTATGCTTAGGTATCGAAAACAGGTGGACTAACTCTAACCAGACTATATTTTAGAGCAATATTACAGCGAAAAGTACACATAGCCCTCTGTTGTCGTGATTTAGGAAATGCAACATGTTGCAGGAAATGCAAATTTGATACCTGTATTTGGATTGGATGTTTTTGCTTTTAAAACCGGTATTACGACTATTTTTAAACAATCAAACAAAACAAAATTAAAATATACTATAAAATGCAATATTTAATTTTGAGAACGTAAGAAAATTAAATTCTATTTTCTAATATATATTGCATTAATTTGTACAAGTAATTATTAGTTTTTATGGAAATTGAAATAGAATTTTAAGAAACATTTCGTTGTCTAAGCTAGATCTTATTAACTTCCAGCAGGGTAGGTTATAGTAAGGGCCGTAATTAAATAATTAATTGTTCCTATTAATAGGTAGATGTGCTGATTAGTATTTGGCTAAAGAAGGTCCAGCCGTTACGGAGATACGGAGCAAAGAGTGCAGAAAATAGAAATCGAGGTTTTGAGAGAACGGAGTATCCGAATTGAATGATCCAAAACTGTTCTGAATTATACAAAATTTATTCAATTTGTAATGATTGGGAGAACTGGTGATCAGTTTTTGGCAAAGTCAGGTCCAGCCATTTCAATGATACAGAGCTACATGTACAAAAAATAGCAGTTTTTGAGAGAATTAAGTATCCGATTCAAATGAGTCAAAAACCTTCCGCTTGTGTTGACAAGCAATTGCTTTTGAAGAAAAAAATTTGTATGTCGAAAATAAGATTTAATTTTAATACTAAAAGTTATATTAGTGCAATAAATTTAATAAGGCATCTTTGGCGCTTGTTTAGGTCTCTGGATATGGTTACACCCACTTCGAGTTTTCCAATGTGAACAAAAACTTTAGAAAATTGTATTCAACTATTTAATTTAATATTAATGTAATCATCAGAATTTGAAATATTTTAATATATTAAATTTTATTACCGGACAGCGCGTACGCAGTCCCGACTACCAAAAATTACACGCCCGAGTTATCCACATTAGAGACAATCGCAGGGGTCAATCCGACCCAGGTGCAATGGCCAGACCTCGCCCTGGGGGAACCGCCTTGTTGATCACGGTAACCCCGACGCCAGGTAAGTATGCTTAAGAATCGAAAACAGGTAGACTAACTCTAACCAGACTATATTTCAGAGCAATATTTACGGCGCAAAGTACACACAGCCCTCTGTTGTTGCGATTTAGAAAATGCAACATATACCGCTAAATAAATTTGATACCTGTATTTTGATGTGTTTGCTTTTAAAGCGGTATTACTACTGTTTTTAAAAAAATCAAGCAAAATTTAATTTCACTATAAAAAATGCAATATTTAATTTTAATAATTTAAGAAAATTCAATTCTATTTTCTAATACGTATTGCAATAATTCGTTCAAGTAATAATTATTATTTATGGAAATTGAAGTAAGATTTTAACAAACATGTTGTTGTCTAAGCTATTTCTTATTTTGAGTCGATGAGTCATAAAGGCGAAATTTAATTATGAGTAAATGGAAGATTTCCTGAATCAACTAGTGATAATGATCAAAAATTTTAAGGTGAATTAAAATTCGGTATTAATACCGCCAAAAATTTGTATGGTATCCCAGTATTCGGTATCAAAAAATTCTACTGCCATAGACAAAAGAACGTTATGGCAACTTCAATCAAATAGTATAAGTGGCAAATAACGACACATAATAAGGGCGAGGTAAAATTTATCAAATTTGATTATTTATAATCACTTGGTCCTCGTAGGACATAAAAAACTTACTTTCCAAACAATCCAGTAATAACTTCTAAAAAGATTGCTCTAGTTGTTATTTTGTATTTACAAACATACACACTTCAGAAATTCATTTTAACACCATGCATCTTATTTCTAATCTTGTGTATATATTTTCATGAATGAAATTTGGACGCTTGTGGACATATTAATTTGACTATGATTTAGTTTAATTTTAAACGTCAATTTCGTGCATCAGTATCAAACAGCAACATCAAATTCACTATTTATGTGTTACATGTATCCTATGTGCACATTTGCATATACTTATTTATTTTTAACATCTAAAATTTGACAAACACATTCACAAAAACTTGTTTTTTTATTAGTACTGCCGGTGTTATCATGCTCATACACAGTATCACACGTCTCTACATCTAAGATGAAGTGATGTGATATAAAACTATCTAAAAATCATATTAACTAAACTTAAATTATAGTTGTTCGTTAATCCCAAAAATGTATTGCTTATATATAGTGGAAGTTTTTCATAAACTTCAATTCTGAAGACTAGCCAATGAGAATAAATTGGTCACTAATAAATATATGTTTTATTTTATCATCAGCCAATTGTAATTAATATTCGATATCTTCTCAGCAAATTTTATCTAACGACAACTGACAGAAATTCTGTACAGCAAATTCATTAATATTACCGTGGCCTAAGCTACAAGTTGTTATACTGTTATACTAATTTGAAAATAATGGATAAATTAATGTGCTGAAATATAATGCATAATTGCATATGTCAACTAATAATTGACAAAAACTGATCAGACTTTTATAACAATACTTATAAAAAATTTGCATAGATTTGAAGTGAAGGTATTATAAGATTAATATTGTTCACATTATTAATTGTACAAACTTTTGAAATTCCATTTCAATAATTTCAAGCCTAACGTTGAAAAGTAAGAAATAAAGAATCTTATTTTATGGAAATTATACAAATATAATAAAGACAGTTTAGAAAATCCAGAATATACGAACTGGTGGAAATAAATTTAGAAAATTTGTAATCTACATATTCACATATGTGGTAATATATAATTACTATTATGTGTATACAAACAAAATTTAATTTCTATTGCTCACAATTTCAATAAAACGAAATGAAAATCATTTTTACAATGAGAATCTCCTATATTATATTCTAAAAAATCAAAAACTGTATATTTTTATGGTGATGGAATTATGATTTAGTAAATGTTTTTAATCATTAGCAAAGAAAAGACGTTTCAAACTCATGCACATCTAAACACATCAAGATTATGAGAAATTAATCAAAGCATTAATCAAATATCAAAGTTCGGCCGAACTGGCAAAAAAAACCTTGCACAAAAGTTCAGATCGCAATCACAGAATTTGTAAATGGATAACAAGACTATTTACACAATCGCGTGTTATTTGTATGTATTTGTTTAAATTTAGAAAAAAATATTTTAAATAACTTACCACAAATCGATTCACTTTTACACGTGGTGACTTGTTCATTTGATTCGTCATCTCGCGCATTGATTCAAATCTATCCCGCAGACTGAAAATAAAAAAAAAAATTAGTTGAAATCTTTTATTATTACAGACAACACTCCTATAATGTGTACTCTGAGAAAGTGATCTCCATAATACATCCTTACATCCTCTTCAATTCAATAAAAATAATTCAAAGGAAAAAACTACCATGTTATACTGAAAAAATGCCAAAAACATTCCAAAAATTCAAATAACCTGCTATATTTATTATAAGTTTATCAAAAAGATTATACATATCAATTAAATCATCACTGGTATTTTATAATTTTTTTTTTGCTATTAATTTTTAATTAATTATAAGATCTAATTAATCTTTTATTTATTACAGACAGTTTTCAAAAACTTTCCAAATGAAACAAAATATGCTGTTGTAGAAGCAATTAAAAGTTGGCTAAGACATGCCAACGAACGATACATGAAGAATAATTTGTAATATAGATAAATTACATATATATAATCATTGGATTGTGTTGTGCTATCTAGGCAGTTATCATAAAAAGCTGTAGGAAGCAACAAAAATCAAATTATGAATTAAAAAATAGTATTATATCATTAGTGCGAAGACTGAATATTGATTTCAATATTTCAGTAAAAAAAAATTGTTGCTAGTTGTTACTTCATATAAAATAATAAATTTAAATATTTCATGTTATTCTAATTTGCTTGCTAATTTGTCTTTATTATGATATTGATTTAACATGAAATAAATTAAGTTTTTTTATACTTAATGCATTATCATGATGTTATGAATTACATAATATACAAATATTAAATATATTTATACCTTTTGGCACTTTCTAATTGTGAGTCATTATTTTCAGTTTGGCACTCTTCAAGAACATTTATCGTACTTTGTTCCCTTTTGATTTCATTGCTTTCCCATTTCTCAAATTTGGCTCTGAGTTGTTTGGCTCTTGCTTCATTTCTTGCCTTTAATTATAAACACAATGTAAATGTGGAATGGATGTGACATTAGATTAAATTAATTATTTTTGTTACTAAATAAAATAATTAAGTTAAATATACTTTTCATTTATACTTATTTCTAGCATGTGTTATATTTGGAACAAGTTAATAAAAACATTTAATATATCTACTACACCTTCTTAACCAATAATTGATAATGAATTAATATTCAATAAATGTAATATTTTGAACTATTTTTTTATATTGGCTAAACACAACAAAAATTGTTTGGCTATTTAATTCTAACCGAGTATATAGAAAAACAAAGAAATTTTTTATGACTCCAATATTAGATTTAATAAATATTATTTTAATTTCCAATGTTTCATTACTTTTCTTATAGCTAGTTTTTTTTTCAGACAATACTAATCCATTAATTCCAGCACTTACCTGTTTCAAAAATTCATCCTCACACTTGTCACTCGCTTTAACATAATCAACACCATCCCTACCGACACCATTCTGATGGTGACCATTCTGAGGTTCATTTTCATTTTGAACTTCATCATCAGTATCACTGTCAGTAACACCAGAGTTGTCACTCTGGTCATTGGTATCCAGGAACCTCCTTGGGGTCTCCTCTGGAGGAGGTGTAAACCTCTTCAAGGGTTTAGGACCTTTAGAAAAATTAAATTCATTAATTAACTAAATCGATATTTATATTGAATTAAAGTTCTGCATGACTGCATTGTGGGTTAGTATTTTTAAAACAAATAATCGGGATGGAGTTACAAATTCTTTGGTATATACCTTGTGGCTGTGTTTCCTTTCGTTCTTCCATCTGTCTGAAGATATTCAACATTTTAGTAGCGGTGTGGCTCTTTTCGGCAATTTCTGGATCATCACCATTTTCATCATTACTCTTGTTGTCAGAAGTGACAATGGATGGATCCCTGTAGACTTCTCGTTCTGGTGATTCGGTCTGTTGAAGAATTAAACAGATTAGCTTGATGCATATGACATATATAGCAATTTAGTAAATTTTAATTTACATTTAAATATTTAGAAACATGCAAAAAATATTGTTAATGTTATCATCATACAATCAAATTTAATATTTGTATAAAACAACTGGTTTTTTATTCTTTCATTACCATCTTAACACATGGAATAATTTTAAGGAAAGAAAAATGGCTGTGGTAACACATTATTCTTGGAGGTCAGTTTTTTTTCCCAATTTTTATTTAAATTATGTAAGCACTTTGCACATAAATTTCATACAATTATAAGTATACATTATTTCAAAATTAGTAACTATTAGTATATAAATAACACACAAATATTCGTGCTTTCCAATTGTTTGGAATAAATATTTTAAGCAAATTAATTATGCAATTTAACATAATATATTAACAACTACATAAAAAATTGTAAAAGTTTCAAAACAAATTATTTCACTACTTTCAATGATTCTGATTTCTAAATTATACTTAAAATTCAAAGATGATTTTTAACTGTTTATATGACGAGCCGATGCTTTATTAAATATTAATTTAAGAAACATTGAATGAATCTAATTTATACTGATATCAGAGTCCTAAAACCATTTTTAAACATAAAGAAAATTATTTTTATCTAAATTATCACAACTGAAATGAAATATGGTCTTGTATGTAATTGAAAATTACACGATAAAAAGTAAAATAATAAAAGTAAATTATTTCATTACTTTCAATGACCATATATGTATTTAAAATAAGTTGATTTTGAATGTTTTAAATGCATTGAAATGACATTTGGTTATTTATATCAATATCCTGAAATAACTCTTAATCATTGTAATAAAAATAGAAATATCTCAAATATGAATCCTCATTTTCTGAAAGATACAAAAAATCCAAATCAAAATATTACAAAGAGCAATTTGGTTGCTGTAGTAAATTATTTCTAATCAAACACACAATCCTGAAAACAACACAGATTTTCAAATCAAACAAGCCAAATGTTAATAGCTCCACACAATGTCATAACACCACAACCTTAACAACGCCCTCTCTGGGAGGCGTGATTCTAAATGGCTTTCTCTCAACACTTTTAGGTTGATAAGTCTCAAAGAATTTGAATTTGCTCGAAATTTCTGCAGTCTCGATTTTGATCTCTTCTCTCGTTTCGCTACTCTTCACCACGTCTTCGGGGTTGAAAACCTTCACCCATTTTTAATTAATATAATATAAATTGTAAAAACACTTAAGAAGTATATTATGTATGCAATTCTAGAATATAACATATATTCACGGAAATATTATACTTAACAATCAAATGATCTTGATTTCGATTCAGGAGCTAAAGGCATTCTATCACCAATTTCACTATTGTAGTTTTTCTACATTTTTTGTCTAGTTAGCTTCAAATTATGGCCAATTAATTTTTTCCTTTTTAACACTAGAAAGACGGACGCAGTCATTTTGACTGTTTTCCATTTTCAAACATAAAAATAACTATGTATTTGAAGTCGCAGCTTCGTGAAATTTTGTGACTTTTTATACAACATATAAATGCGTAGATAAATCGTATTATTTGCTTTATCTCACTTTTATTTTCAATATTCTTACATGTTATGCCTGCATGGACGGAAAACAGTCATTTTGACTGCTCTAGAAATTTTACATTACAAATGGCTTTGTTATTGTATTACAAATCGTTATATCGCGTGCATTCATCTACAATATGCGATAATGCATTTGTTATATAAAAATAACCGAATTTTGGTAAGTATTGACATTAGACCGGTCTTTTTCACGTAGTAACTTTCAGTATAACGCGTTGTTCAGTTGATTTTTTAGAACTTATAAATAAAATTTCGAAGAGAAGTGAATTATTGCAAAAGCTAACAAACATAAGTAAAGAGTGTTCCGACATAGAATCAAATGCAGAAAATTGGGCACAATCATCTGATGATGAATTGGATTATATTCCACGTGAATCATCTAATTCTGAGGGTAGCGATGAAGGTGATCACTATTGATGAAAATGAAAGTGCCATCAGTGTATGCAGGAAGGTGCTAAGTGGCTCAGAAACTGATGAAAGAATTCAAGAAACGGAAACAGCTCTCGATGGTACTGTATGGACAAAAATTGCCGAAGGTGGTACTCCAGGAAAGTCATCATCTGTGTTTTCAAGGGTGTGAAAGGGCCAACGATCTTTGCAAAAAAGAATATTATTACAGGTGATCTTGTCAGTGCATTTTCGTTGATAATAGATAATTATATTATCAAACACATGAAACAGTGCACAGAGGAAGAGGGCAGTCAAATTTTGGGGTACGATTGGACAACATCGTTACCGGAAATACGTGCATTTATTGGAATTTTATATGCTCGTGGGGCCTATGAGGCAAAAAATTTGAAATTGACTTACTTATGGTCAGCAAAGAAGACATGACAGATCAAAGGTAAAGAAAATATACCGTGAAATCCCACGTAGTTCACGTAGATGACCCCTGCAAATATTTTTCAATATTTTGGATTTGGCTGCGATAAATGTCTGGATTCTTTACAAAGAAGCGACAGGAATAAAAATCCAAAGAAAACAAATCCTTAGAGAACAGTTTTTGTTTGAATTGGCAGAACAGCTTTCCGCGGACTACGCGACATCAACACAAAAAAAATCAAAGGAAAATGATGACCCACAGACACCATGCACATACCAGTAGTAATAAAAGAAAATTTTGCCAAATAAGACTTTGTCATAATAATAAAACTAATAATACGTGTCAAATTTGCAACAAACATGTTTGCGGAAAATGTACTCATAAAAAGATCTAAAACTATATTTGCATGAATTGTAAAAATAATGAACTTTTTTGTCAGATGAACTATTTTTTTTATTTTTAGCACTCAGATAATTTGTATAAATGTAAATAGTACATGAAATAATAAAAAATAATTTTAAACAAATTTCTAAACGCATTATTTGTTTTTTTCACAACGCAGTCATTTTGACTGTTTTCAGGCAATGTAGGTATACTCAATTCGTCCGTCTTTCTAGTGTTAAAATTATTTTTTTTTATTTTTGTAATTATTTTTTTTCTTTGTTGAGCAAATGGTTTAAAATTGTAAGAGAAAGACGAAATATAAATAAACTAGGCGTAAGTGCCTTAAGGCGAGTTGCAAGAACTTCCTGATACGTGTAAATAATCAAGTTATATAAACAATTGAGATTTAGCTGTTTAGTTTTCAACAGTTTATTTCGAAAATAAAATTGTTGCTTTATATTGAAATGTTTCAAACAAACTTATAATATCGTACAGGGTACTGCAATTAAATTAATTATTATGCATGAACACATGTTTATATGACGTTTGCGTTTAGTAAGCTGCAATGAATTTTTTTGGTTGAACCACTATCGTAGGACTATAATATTTTAAGATATTTGGTTAGATTAGTCAATCGTCATTCTATATTTATTTAAACGTTTAAATATTACAAAATATGTACATTTAATTAAGAAGAAACAGCCCAGCAGATCTTTGACTAAATTAATCAGCACGTTTCCACACTGACTTCATAAGAATGATCGTATTTTTTTTCCAACAATTAATCATTAATCAACACGATTCCAAAATTATTTGAATGGTATTTTAATTTATAACATAGAATATTTGGCTAAAATGTGGACGAAAAATGTAACACTTTTCTGTTAATTACAATGGAAAAAGATCGTTGGGCAAAGGCTAGTACTTTTTGAGTTATATCGAATGTCTTTTAAATTGTCGGTGCAGCCGTTTTTGAGAAAACTTCGACGAAAGGTAAAAATAGGCGCATTGTACACATATACATACACAGCAAATATGGTCTCAAACGATTCAAAATGATTTAAAACGTCGAGAAAACATTAATTAGCAAGTCGGATTTTTTCGTGCGTATAAACTTCTTCAGGAAGTCAATAACAACAAATTTAAAAATTGACTGGAAAGTGCTGGCGAGGGTACCATGGAATACATTAGAATTGTGCTTGCTCTTGTAAAGATTTCAAAAATAAAAACCAAACGTCGGGAAGATTTTAACACGAAATTATGTAAGAAGTTTAATGTTTGTTATACATTTTCTCATATTATTATTTTGAAGTCGCTAATATAAGGTATATCTCTATGTGAAAGTAAACTGCTATAGTTCATACGTATGCCAATTGAAAGTTTGTTGAATAAATATTTTGACGCTGTGTTCCATCTTAGGGGGCGAACATCAATCACGTGAGCAAGATTTTAAGGATTTTTGGACCCCTCCCTCTCCAATTGTGATACATAGTGATATTCAAAATTATCCCCCCCCTCCCCTACCAAACATCACGTGTATTTTCAAGTACGTGAAAAAACTGTAAATTTTTTGAATTTATTTTTAAAATGTTTGAACTTTTTAAAAAAAAATAGTTAAAAAATAAATACACGTGATATCTTACCATACCCCTCCCTCCCCCACGTGATATTTCGTGATTTCTGGTCAAACCCCCCCCCTCCCCCTAAAAACCTCACGTGATTAATGGACGCCCCCTTATCTTATTTGATTTGATTTAAAATACTAACCTGAGTATTTGATTTCTTTAGTTCCGGTGTGCGTGGTGCGTGTGGCGTGTGGGGCGATTGGGCGCTCTTGGCGGCACTTGCGTCCAATTCCAAGAACATCGATCGAGACTTTTTGCAGATACCTTGAATAAGAATAAACGACATTACACTTATTAGATAGAGAATATATATCATGCATAAGTTATAAAATTTGTTCCGGCTATGAACAACAATTCTGAAGTCTAGAAATATTAATTAACCCATTGTCTAAACTCATCTCAATAGCAGGATATGCAGATTTTTATGGAATGTCGAATAAGCATTCTTTTAAAAGCAATATTTGTCCTGAATTTTTTTAGATCTTTTGTCCCGGATTGTCCCGGGTTTTCGAAAAGTATAGGTAGTATATAGGTTCAAATTGAATCTTTGCAATTACTTGATAATACAATCATAACTACCCCTCAAATAATTGAAAATGATACACATACAACAAGTATGTTTATATGAAGCAATACGTTATGAATGAGAAAAATGCTGACTACAAATTTCCAAGGGCGGGATATAATAGCCTCTCACATTAATAAATTCTAAATTTTCAAAAACATTTACTTTTCAAAATTAAGAAACCTAACTTTTTGACTACCTCGCACAAGTGCTAAATTTTCAAGTTAATTATGCAGAAAAAGGAACAGAATTTTAAACAAGACTTAAAAGTAGAAAAACATATGGATCAAAAATGTTAGATATGTAAAAAAAAGAGTATATGGGTCATTCTTTTACAAATCGTACGGATTTTGGTAAAAAAAAAATGTGACATTTTAGAATTGGCTGAAATTTTTTTTATAGATATTAGACATAAAATCATTTGACACGTATTTCAGGATTTTGCCGGCAAAAAATTTTTTTTGGTTGATATTTACGATTGAAATATTGCCGATTTTCTCAATTTTTATGAACTTCCTCTGCATTATGTTAATTATCTTCAGTTGTGTTGATCAGATCAGTATTGTTTTTTTTTATTATATTCATTATGAACTCAACTTTGAAGTAATTTAAAAAAAATATTGTTTTTGCAATTATTTTAACAATAATAACAATTGATTGTTTACATTGGTTTTACATACGGGCGCCCCGACTTAAATCGATTGCGTAAAAAACCATATTGTTTCTTTTTTTATCTACTTTAATATTATTTCTACTATTCGATGGCATGGCTATTACATCGGAAGATATTAAATGTTTCCGAGCGCAAGTCGCGCCGCGCGTCCCTTTGAAAGACGCATCGCGCGTATTAAATGAGTACAAGTACTGTTTTTAACTAAAATATTTTACAATTTCGTTACTGAGAAAAAATAAATATATTGTCTAAAATATGTAGTAGTATTTAATTGTTGTTTTCGAAAGTGCTCCCAGTGTCCTGGCCTAGAAAATTTGATCACAGAATTAGAAAATATTTTTGAGAAAAATTATATTGACGAAATTAGGTACAGAGAATGGACTAACGTTGATAGAACTATGTTGCAATTAATGATATCCCCAGTATACAAATATCTACAAAAATTGCAGGCCACTTTGGAAAAATTATTACATTCATTTCTTGTAAGAAAACAAAATGAATTTATGACAAAAAAGGGAAGAACTATCACAGAATTAATGCATCGTAGTGTGTGATTTTTCAGAAAATAATTCATGCGTTGTCCAAGATGCTGCTCAAGGATTTTATTGGAATAATAATCGGGCTACGGTGCATTTAAAATTTATTACAAAGATAATGACGATAATGTTCGTGTTAAAAGGTTAGTAATTTTTTTAGAATGTCTGCAACACGACACTGTAGCGGTTTAAATGTATTTCAAAAACATTTAGTTGAATTCGTTGGTAAAGAATTGAAGCAAATTACAAAAATCTTATACTTTTTTGATGGGTCGGGTGCGCAGTACAAAAATAAAAAGAATTTTGTAAATCTTACTTGCCACGAAAAAGATTTTGGTCTGGTTGCAGAGTGGCACTTTTTCCCAATGTCACGCGGTAAGGGCGCTTGCGATGGATTGGGTGGAACTTTGAAAAGGCTAGCTGCCAGAGCTAGTCTTCAAAGAGCATCAAATCCAAACCAAACGCTAAAACAATTATTTGAATGGGCAAATGAGTCTCTTTGCAACATTTCTTCGAAATATGTAACCAGTGAATAATATATTGTTGCCGATAAAAAATTGAAGACAAGATTTTAAAATGCAGTCACAGTGAAAGGCACCTTGAAATATCATTGTGTTATACCTTGAAAAAAATCAAGTGCGGGCCTAAAAACTTTTCTTTGCAAAAAGAACGCGATTCAACTGTTTTTCAACTTGTTAACGTTGTGACATGGAATATATATTATGTAGTACATCAAAAGAAGCTATATTATATAAACTTAATTATAATGCAATAAATGAATTATTTTAATCGCATTCTCTTGTATTTATTTTTTAACGAAATCAAACCTACCCAATACAATTAATTTAACTTTTGTTAATATTCCAACGAATAATAAGTTTTAGTTTATCAGTTTCAAAAATATGAGCATTTTGTATAAAATATTTTCTACAACATATTTTAGACAATATATTTATTTTTTCTCAGTAACGAAATTGTAAAATATTTTAGTTAAAAACAGTACTTGTACTCATTTAATACGCGCGATGCGTCTTTCAAAGGGACGCGCGGCGCGACTTGCGCTCGAAAACATTTAATATCTTCCGATGTAACAGCCATGCCATCGAATAGTAAAAATAATATTAAAGTAGATAAAAAAAGAAACAATGTGTTTTTTTACGCAATCGATTTAAGTCGGGGCGCCCGTATGTAAAATCAATGTAAACAATCAATTGTTATTATTGTTAAAATAATTGCAAAAACATTATTTTTTTTAAATTACTTCAAAGTTGAGTTCATAATGAATATAATAAAAAAAAAACAATACTGATCTGATCAACACAACTGAAGATAATTAACATAATGCAGAGGAAGTTCATAAAAATTGAGAAAATCGGCAATATTTCAATCGTAAATATCAACCAAAAAAAATTTTTGCCGGCAAAATCCTGAAATACGTGTCAAATGATTTTATGTATAATATCTATAAAAAAAAATTCAGCCGATTCTAAAATGTCAAGGTATGGTTGGTGTACGGTTTGTAAAAGAATGACCTATATATAGCATGGCATAGCAATAGTAAAGTTTATACTAGAAGTACGTAATACTGATTAATAAATTAAAAAACCTGTTTTTATAGTCCTTAAATAGTATTTTTGTTATTTGCATGAAAATGTTTTTTCGGGTTGAAAAGTTTAGTGAAGGTCATAAATGTTGATATTGGTTATATTGGCAACGTTATAAAGTTTGATATGAAATTTGTGCGTCATCACACGAAAAGAGCCACAACAATTTGGTAAAATATCGAAAAATTTAAAATATGAACTAAAAGATATACGGGCACAAAGAGGATTAGTTAATAAATTAATAGACTCTTCAAAATGCCTAAAAAATTTGTATCAAATACATTAGTTAATCTGTCAGAAATAAATGAAAAGTATGTCAACTCTTAATTGACACCCAAAATAAAAAAGCGTGCTGAATTATATCTCGTACTTGAGACAATTAATACAATTTAATTGTTATATAAAATTATATTCGTTCATCTTACATTTATTTTCTGACATCTGTATTTAAAGATATGTATGCGTGCGTTTGTAACACAAAAAATAATTGGAACATCTTAACAGAAGCAATTAAAAGTTTGAAACTGTTTTATTTCACACATGTGTACAATGCGAACGTCTACATAAATACAAATATATATATATATATATATATATATATATATATATATATTTGAAGTCAGTCACGCTGAATGATAAATCATAAAAAAACTGGTACAAGCACAATGGTAAAGTTAATTAACGCAAAAGGCAATCAACGCCAAGATATCATGACTGTATAACTAACAATAAATATATTGTGCACACACAAATATATTTATATGTATATATATATATTCATCATCGGCAATTGTAAGAATCTTTTGTTGCGAAAGATAATTTTTTATTGTCAATTTGTAATCGCCGCTTTAATGTTTTTGAAAACGATAAAAATATTCAGACAAAGTCAATGGAATATAAAACCATTGTCTTATTCATGTACAACTGCAATTCGTTTATAAACGTTCTACTATCGTAATCGTAAATAGAAATTCTACTATAGTAAATAAAAATATATAAAACACTCAGAAGTAGTCGGCCGAATAAATATAGGGTAGGGCGGGGCACAAAGGTCAAATTTGACTTTAAGTAGTTATACTGTCTAAACCAAATGAAAAATATAACAACACACACGAGTCAAACGAACAACTATCGTACAATTTTCAGTAGAATTCCCTGTTAATACCTAATTATAGAAATATGTGTTTCGGCTATTTTACTAAAATTTGTCATCTGCCCATATTTACCCCATTGGCTAGGCTAACAGAAAAAACAGAAACAGATATAATGTCTCATTTTTAATTTAAAGGAAATTTTATGAAATAATAGCTAAATTAATGAACCCTAACCAATGCATATATAACATTGATTTGGTATTTTGTCAGAAATTTTCATCAGCAGAGTTGAAATAACTATTAATTTAATTTATCTCTTGTAAAATTGCTATGCTTTCAACCAATGCATATATAACATTAATTTGGTATTTTGTCAGAAATATTCATCAACAGAGTTGAAATAAGTACTAATTTATTTATCTCTTGTAAAATAGGTATCTTTAACTTAATTTATTTTTTATTTACTATTTTTTATTGTTTACACCTTTGCCAGAATAAATGTTCGATTGGTCCTTTTTAATCTACCCATATGTGAGTTACTTATAAGGAATGAAAAAATTTTTGTTGAATCTAACTTAAAATTGACAATACATCTTGTAGAACAATTAAATAAAGTATATTTAAAAATTATGTTAATGTCTCGTAAACTAAATAACAGTGTAAACAACCAAAAAAAACTGGCAACAAAAGAAAATACTTTTGTTATAGATTTTCCAATATCCCCATTTATGTCCCGATAGCGATGTCTTAAGAAATAAGGAGATAGCTGATTATACATCTTATTCCGCCAACTTCAAGTTTTGTTCTGAAAAAATCCTTTTAGAAATATTTATAATGGACCTTTTTAACCAAAGCGCTTTTAGCCCCGTTCTGCCCTACTGCATATATTTTGCAATGAAAAATGTGAGTATTTGCCTTGGCAAGTTGCGTGTACTTCCCTATACCTGTTAATAATCGAGTTAATCAATAAGAAGTAAAGTTTTGTAATTTAGATAATTTTTTCAAATGTTTATTTCGAATAAATGGATTTCAATCGATATATTTCTAACAGATTTATTAAATATTTAATTATTATATTAATTATGGAGCACAAACACTCGATTGCATATCCTAAAAGGCAACTTATTATACCAAATTTCAATGACTTTTCATAATTCAACCACACTTCTTAGTCCTTTAATATTTCATCATGTTCGCATAGATTTTAAACTCTAAACCATGTTAGGATTAATTACAAACTTTTTTTTAAATTTTAATTTAGCCGATTTTCATCTAAATATAATCAGCTCGATTATATTTTTCGAACAGTTTTTTAATTTTCAAAATCGGCTAAAATGTGGACAATAAATTTTGCACTTTTCTGCTAAATATAAAATGCGAGTCCCTAACAAGTTTAATCCTAAGGATTTTAAATTTATTTTTAAAATCGGTGCAGCCGTTTTTGAGAAAACGTCGACAATAGGTCAAATTTTGAGCTCAAATACACATACATACAAACTTTTTCCAAATTTGGTCTCAAATGATTCAAAATGACTACAAACATCGAAATATATTAAAATAGCAAGACTATCTTGTTTTCTGGCAAAAACAACTTCTTTGGAAATTTAGAAATATACAAAATGCACATTTTGATTTTTTCATAAGATGAGGACTGACCGTTAAGTTGCCGGGCTTTTACTGGTCTTTTCTTTTAACAAAGTTTATGACACGTGAAAAACGATCTACGGATGATTTGTAAAAAAATGTTTATGATACAGAACGTGCAGAATCGTCATGATAAATTTATTGTTTAAGAGTCACGACCTCGAATGAAATTATAGGTCTTAAAAGTTGATGAAAATATTTAGTGCCGTTACGAATTTTAGTCTTAACACGAGAAAATTTCACAAAATTATGACTGTGCTATAAAACAAAAGGAGATTCTGAATGACATAGTTATTCCTTAAAATGAAATTATTAAAATATTCCTTAAAATAATAATCCACTAAAAAGTGATTTAAACATTTTCTTTGTCGGTATTATAAATTCAATTAAATTATAGTTCATTTTTATTTTTGTTGTATAACACATACTAATTTACCAGTTAAGACCTCGAATTGGAAAATATAAAACTATCTAGTCTCAAGAAAACTCATTCACTAAAAATTTTATATAATTTATTTTATATTCATTATAATTTTAGATATTCGGCACAAACAGAAATAATTTGTTAATTGCAATAAATATATTCCTGAAAAAGTAATAATACTGAAAACACTGCGGACAATACTTGGTACGTTAAAAAAATAAATAACCAAGTTATACTTATTATTAATTATTATTGCATATAAATCGTAAAAACAGAGTTTTTGCAATTACCATGATCTTGAAAAAGCGTAATTAACCCTATAATTATAAATAACTAAAGAATGTTTTTTTATCAAAACTCACCAGCATCAAATACGGACATGTCCTCCTGTTCGATACCCTTAGCTTCCTGATCATTTTCGCGTGCGCTTACAAATGCTTCTCCTTTCTCAAACTTCTCCATGATCGATTTAGCCTTTTCACATGTCTCCACCACTGGTGGCTTCTTCGAAGACGTTATGCCTAAAAATTTAAGATTTTTATTAAAAAATCATTTATTATATTATTAAAAATAATATGTAAACAAATGTTATTTGATAGCAACATGTTATGATACCAATTTCATATTTCATAATAACTTGATCAATAAAATCTTATTTCTTTAGAAATATGTTTCATATGGATATATGAAATCAATGACCAAACAATTTACCAAATCCTAATAAGAATATATAAATTCAGGTGAAAATTTTAAATATTCTGTTGTATTCAAGGATTACATAAGATGTAAGTTTTCATTCATGCATTTCAATATAGATAACGGAGACTGGGTACGGTTGTGCCAGGATACTATAGAAATAGTTTCATAACAGCTGAACTATACTGATTTTGAGATAGGGTCCAAAGTGAGAAAGATGAAGAATGATTGCTAGAACAAGTTTCCATTATTGCGTCAAAGAGTCAAAAATAAGTTCTTTTGTTTGAATTCTTTTAATCATAACTGTTAATTGTATACAGATAGATTACTTTTTTGTTAGTTTGCTGTAAGTTGAACATTAGTAGTTACTTACCAGCAATTAGTTTTTGCGTAGATAATTTAACTAATAATGATGATTTGTTTTCAAAAGTGTCCGTTGGTTACGGTTGTGACAAATTTTTGGGTAGGATTGTGACATGTATTTCTTGTCCTTTTCGGGTGAAGATTAAACAGATAAAAAAATCAAAAATCTTACTTAACTAAGACAAAATACGAAACAGCAAGTAATAGAAAAATTTAATATGAGAATAAAAAAGATTTCACCAAAAATTCTTGTTAACTTTGTTTAAAAAGTTATGTTTTGTTATTATATTTTATTCATAAGCTTTGTTTAAATGTTTATGCTGTGCTGTGTACATTATTACATATTATTGTTATTAACGACAATAAAAGTCGTTATAGACCATTTTGGTATTTATACTTATTGTTTTTAATTTATTTTTATAACTGTCACTACTGACCCCAATCGCTGTATTGCCCTTTTTTTGTATGATTTGATTTTATGACTGATACATCGTATTTCAAGACAGTATTTCAGTATTTCCACTTAGGCAAATGTTCAAATTACCATTTAATTTACTTTTCTCCTAGGTAATGGCTGATCAAAAAAAAGTGGCACAACTTTACCCAGTCTTCCCTTTATATGGATTCATTAAAAATATGATTTGAAATTTTTTTGCACCAACTAATTAGTTCAACGTTCTCATGTGATCAATAGGCAGATTCGACATGTATAAATACATACTAGTACATGCATAAATATAACACTATGCCAAATTATTAAATAACATATTAAGATTTTTTGCAATTTCAACAACTGGCCTTACAGGAAGTTATAAAGAACTTATAATCAGTCAGTTTAAAATTGCCTACAACTCATTTCTAGTTATTACTAATTTCTCAGATTTTTTTAGATTTCTAAATTTTTGTTGTTTATACCAATAAAATTACATCTTTATCAGTTAAAATGATGGAGCAGAACGAAAGAAACAAATAAAATTAGAATCAAAATATATTAAATTTAATAAATATATGATGAGAATTATTAAGATGTAATCTGCCTAAAATTAAAAGTTGATAAATATCATTTTGTTGTCCTTTGAATTCTATCGTCGATTAGTGGTTAGAGCTATGGGATTTAAATGAGAAGTTCCAGGTTTAACACTAGCCTCATATTAAAGTAGTGGCATTGGCTTTCACTTGGAAATATAGATACCAATATGTTAAAAAAATCATCATTATTTTAGAACTGTAATAATAAATTCATTCCATAGAAATAGCTAAGCCAAGATAAATAAGCCATGTTATTTAAGAAATCTGCACAACAGCTCACAGGGTTCTTCAAGTTCTGATTGCTATTAAATAAAAAAATGAAAAATAATAAAAAAATAGTAACTCCAAGCTATTTGATAATATAAAATATTATCAAAAAGTTGGAAGATACCCATGAGTTACCATTTTACAAACTAAAATCTTTAAATATTAAAAGATATAATTTTTTTTTTAAAAAAAGGTTATATTATTAATAGCAAATTCCAATTAAATTAGTGGTGTATTGCATCGTGTGTTAAGGCAAATTGCTGGAACTTCCCGTACCTTAAGAAAATATTCGAGAAATATTAAATGTTTTCAAATAGATTATTATAAATAATGTAACTTTCATTATTCTTATTTCATAAATAGTAAATAAACAAAACTGTCTAATATTTTTAAGTATATTATATAAACGGAATTGCAAAGTTAAAATTATTTATTTGAGGTATGTAAGTGATGTTTAGAACTTTAGATATTCAAAAATTATTATTTATTATTACATTTACAAAATCGTCGACAAAATATTGTCTCCATACATACACACACATCAATTTTTTCTGAAGTATGCCAAAATGTTCAGAAACCTCAAAAACTTTAAGATATGCAACGTAAAGATATGCAAAAATATTCATCTCCAATTTTTGGCTCATTACTATAGCTTATCCTATGGGAGTTAATAATACTTTCATAGACAGAAATTTTATGTAGAAGCTAACCCCAAAAAATCAGCAAACAAAAAGCATATTATTAAAAAAACTTCTGTGAATTAGCTTATATTAATTGCCAAATTAGACCCTTCTAAAAAGATAGGACTCGAATTTCATTTGGTCTAATCGTAATTGAATACTATTTGATCATAGTAGATGTCGCTAATCTATTTATTCCACGAATGTTTATTTTCGTGTCCCACTACTTGTAATTAGATTCTCGTAATTTTACAAGATTCACATTAAAAATAATTCATATATTTAACAAATTGGTACTTGTATACGTTTCTCATGGAAAAACCGCAATTTCGGCACAATTATCCGAATTCGTTGACACTCTTCACGGCCCAAATAACACGAAAATCGTCGCGGGAATTTGAAAAATTACAATACGTTTATAAGTTATTAAATAAAATTGTCCCATCATCATTTTGCGGTCTGATGATAAAACAATCAGTGTGTATTAAAATTTCGCCACATTTCTGACAAATTGATATAAAATATATAAAAAATTTATATATAAATATTTGATTTCATATCTGTTTTACAATTGTATTTAAAATAAATTACTCATAGACTTATAGCCATGTCTCACAAGATATTACTTTACTGATTATTGATTTCTTATATATTAATCATCATGTAATTACAAATGAAGTTACTCACTTTTATCAGGGTTTTTCTCAGTACATTTAGTTTATCAATGTAAAATGCATATTGCAAATACTTTAATCTATATATCAGTATTTTTGTAAATTTTTTATCGTTATTTTAGTTAATTTAATTAAAATTATCGCTATCTAGAATGATATTGATAATAATTATATTGAGCCTGATATAATATCTATTATTATTGATTACGGCTTGCTTATGAATAAATAAATAAATAAATAAATAAATTTCTGTCAATACAGAAGAAAAACTAGTGGTGTATATAGCATCATGTCTTAAGACAAATTGCTGGAACTTCCCGTACCGTAACGAAATGTTCGAGGAATATTAAATGTTTTCAAATAGATTATTATAATAAATACTGTAACATTGTCTAATATTTATAAGAATTTTATAAACTGAATTGCAAAGTTGAAACTATTTGTTTAAAGTATATCAGAACTTTCGATATACATAAAAAAAATTTTTTTTGAAAAAAAACCTGAAAAAAATTGACCAAATTTTTTTTCCCAAAAGCAATTATTTTGTTAAAACAAGCAGAAAGTTCTTTAAATCATTCAAATCAGACGCTTAGTTCTCTCAAAAACTGCCATTTTTTGCACATTTATCTCTGTATCTCCAAAACCACTGGACCTGCCCTTGCCAAAAACTAATCACCACTTCTTCCCGTCATTACAAATTGTCATTTCTCGAAACGGCTGGATCTGCTTTTGCCAAAAACTAATCACCACTTCTCTCTATTAATAGGACTCGAATGTTTTTTCAACCATTCCAATCGGTTGATCCGTGCGCCCGGACGTGGACGAAAAATTGTATCCGTACATACATACATACACACACACGTCAATTTTTTCTGAGGTATGCCAAAATGTTCAGAAACCTTCAAAATGTGAAGAAATGTAAAAAATTTTCAATTTCGATTTTTGGATGATTACAATAACTTACCCTACGGAAAGTGAAAAATATATTTTTACACTAACGAGAAATCGATTTAACATTATTGTTCAAATTATTCATTTTATGCGTGAATGAAAAACAGAAATTCTTAGGGATCCGCACGAAGTGCAAAAGAGCGATTTAATTCGTTTATTTATCCAATTAAAGAAACAAATTAATGAAAACTATCTTGTCCTATTATTAAATTATTCGTGAATAATTTGCAGGTCTAACAAACTCGAAAACATAGAGAAAATAGTGCGAATTAACGTATTATGTTCAGGACTTCGTACCAACATGAAATAATCATCAGAATTCACTTCTCTATTATATTAATATCTTTTTTATTTAAGGTGATTATTAAAATTAACTTCTCTATTTTATCTATGCTGTTCCTAATCTACTTTTCTTAATTTTTATTTTAGATACTTTTCAAAACTATTATATTTTTCCATTTTAAGTGATCATTAAAATTCACTTCTCTAGTGCGTTTTTTTATTTGTTTCTGTACTCCCTATTTTAGACGATTATCAAAATTCAATTTTCTGTTCTTTTCCTATTGGTATTTTCAACTTTACGTAATTATCTAAAATTCACTTCTCTATTAGATTTATCTAATCTAACCTTTCTTTTAGAAATTCATCAAAATTTATGTCTTTAACCTATTTTTATATTTTAGGTAGCTATGAAAAAATTTGTTTATATTCTACATCACTATTTTAAGGGTCATCAAAACTCACTTCTCTTTTCAATTTCTCTATTTTATAGAATCAAAAGTCACTTTCTTATTCTTTTTTATTCGTATTTTCTATTTTAGGCAATTATCAAAATTCACTTCTTTATTATATGAAA